TGTTCCTATATATTTTTTTTTTTTAGTAAATTGATTTCTGCTTTCCTCCATCTATGGTCCCACTCCCTCGCTTCTGATATGTTATATTGGTGCTTGGCCTACCCCATCTGGAGCTCTATCATAAGACCTCATTGTTGACCCACCTTTCTGACTGAATATTTGATTGCAAGGATAAGTGATGGGTTGGGTTGGAGGACCGCCGATCACAGATCCATCTTTTCGACGTAACCTGGGTGCCCCCTTGTAGTCCCCCCTATCCTCCCTGTGTCTTCTTAAGACTCTTGGATTCGCTGCTTAGGAAATCCAAAATCTCCTCCATTGGTCCCTTGACTCTTATCATAGGTAACCCTGCGTTCTCCTCGTGCCTCGAGGAGGCTTCCTTCTTTTGTTGGACGGGGGAGGGGCAAATATCAAAGTGTAGATTCCCTGAGGGAAAGGGTACGGATTGTGTTATCCCGAGCTGCCCGGAAGGAGACGAAACCGACCCGTTCTGGGTGAATAAGGCGGGAATGTAGGGCGGAAGTCTTTAGGAGATAAACTTGATCAGAGAAATTGGGTGATAATTGGGGCACAGTGCGGTGTGGAGCGGGGGTAGCTGTAACACCGGCCGGGTTAGTTGATGGACGATGTGTCCCTCCACTGATTCTTAGACATGTGATCTCGGATAATGCCAGCAGAGATCTGGAGGTAAGGAAAGAGAGATCCCATTCACGTGCCGGTATTACTAGGAATCTGATGGAGCTCTGGGAGGGATGTGTGACGGCAATGAGGTCGTAGCACCTGAGTATTAAGATGAACATTCCACCTTCTCCATATTTTATTGAAACCCTTAGTTCGAATCACAACAGGCCGCCCTGACTCCGAAGGGTTAAATTTTGGTAAGGCCAAAGCAAACAGATATCTGCTAATCTTGGTCTGTGATCTTTATGGTCCTTCGTGAAGCACCAATCAACCTATGTGAGGGTACCAGGCATAACCCCATAATGTTTGTGTAGCTACCCCTTAATGGAAAGTCAACAGCCGGCACTGGACAACCTCAGCTAAAGTTGGTCTGGTTTGAAAATGAAATATCTGACCTCTAGGCCTTGGCTCTTAATGTGAGTCCCAGTATCACCTGATAATCATAATTCTGAACCCGGAGGAATTATCTGAACAATAAGTCTATAAGTGAATTCCTGAGTCCATGCGTACTAGATGTGACGGGCCTATGAGGTCCAGAAGACCAGAAACACATAATTCCCCTTCTGAACCTCCCGTAACACACAGGAGAGAGGTCATTGTGTTGTTTGGAGTGCCGGAAATACTTTTAAGATGAAATCTGACCTTCTTCTACATCTCAAAACCCACAACCATGTGACCTGTTCATGTCCAGAGTGCGGAAAAAGTTTCACCGAGGAAAGCAAGCTTGTTAAACACCAGAAAAGTCACAAGAGTGAGAATTATTTTTCCTGTTCAGAGTGCGGGAAACACTTCAGTAGGAGATTGTACATGGTTAGACACCAGAAAATTCACACAGGTGAGCGCCCTTATTCATGTTCAGATTGTTCATTAAGTTTTGCTAGGAAAGGACACCTTCTTAGACACCTTAGAATTCACACAGGTGCGCGTTCATGTTCAGAATGTGGAAAGAGTTTTACTAGGAAAGAAGACCTTCTTGGACACCAGAGACTTCATTCAGGTGACTGTCCGTATTCATGCTTAGAGTGTGGGAAAAGTTTCACTAGGAAAGGAAATATTCTTAGACACCGGAGAATTCACACAGGTGAGCCTCCATATTCCTGTTCAGAGTGCGGGAAAAGATTTACCGACAAAATATCCCTTGTTAGGCATCAAAGAATTCACACAGGTCAACAGTCTTATTCATGTTTAGAGTGCGGGAAAAGTTTTGTTAAGAAAGGACAACTAATGAGACATCAGAGAACTCACCCCAGCTGAAACAGCTGACTGATGTATTTCTGCATTCTCTCGAACTTAATTAAGATCAACGGGATGTGATTCCATCTGTTACAATCTCAGTTAAAGCAGCTTAACAAATTAAACATTTGTTTTAAATGAAATGTGTTGCTATTTAACCCCTTATTAACCCTTTGTTTATCCTAATGAGCTCTATTTTACACCTTCCTCCCCGTAACTATAATTAGGGATGCACCTTTACCAATACTGGTATCGGTGCCCATACTGAGCATTTGGGGCGAATACTTACCCCAATACGGAAACCTCTGGTCAGAGGGAGATTCCCTCCGAATGGCAGTCCCGAGAGGGAGCACGGAGTCGGCTTCCCGACAAATCAGGAAGCCAGGGGTGGTGGGTCATGGGGAGGAGCTACACGCTGACACCAGTGTATCAGGTCTGGAGCGGCTTCCAGTTGAGAAGACTCAATGGAATGTAAGTCTTCTGATTTGCGATTTTGGGTTTCTATTTCGAGCGGCTGAGAGAGATTTGGGGGAGGCGCCGGGCAGACTCATCATTTTCAGCTGTTGGCGGAGAGGGAGACGTCGGACACCAGGGAGGTGTGCAGAGCGTTTATAGACCACTTTGGTGGTCGGAATTATCGGGCGAGTGTGCTGGTGTTTGCACACCTGGAGGCGGGTCACCGGTGATTCATTGGCGGTGAACTGAAGCACAGAAGTCACGAGAGATGTGGTCAATACATGAGGGATTGTGCTTTCCTGGCCCTGTGCTGTACTATTGGGCCACTCACCTCTCTAGGGTTCTGGTTTGGTGGAGCAACCTACCTTATAGACAATGGATCGCTCCCAAACAAGAAGCGTCCACTACCTCGTTGCGTGGCCTTCCTTGGGTTGAGATGGGTCACCTCTCGACCTTGAGACCTTATCTCCTGATTGAGCCAACTCTACAGACGTTTTGAGCCGTGTTCAGGACTGTGGATAAGGAGCAATCCCTTATGACTCCAGTTTTTGGTCACCCTGACCTTTCCCTGTTCTGGTAATGGTGGAGCTACCTACCTCATAGAGAGTGGACCGCTCTCGAACAAGAAGCGTCCACTGCCTCATTGCGGTACCTCCCTTGGGTTGAGATGGGTCATCTCTGGACCTTTTGAGATCTCATCTCCTGATTGAACCAACTCTACAGATGTTTTGAGCCGTGTTCAGGACTGTGGATAAGGCGCAGCTGTAGCTCGCTATATACTTAGCTTTGGGTGACGGGAGGACGCTAGTTTATGTCCTGCCGTGACCCTGAGGAGAACTATGTGGAAAAGCCTTAAACCCATAGTTCTCCTTTAAAAGTTTACCTAGGTGGACCCTCCGTACTGCTCTCTCCTCTTACCCGGTGATGTGAGGGGCGGCTCATTCTCCATCACAACGTCCTTGTAGAGATCCCGGTGTCCTTCTAGATACTCCCACTCCTCCATGGAGAGATAGACAGAGACGTCCTGACACCTTATAGGAACCCGAGACCATCATGATGTGAAGGTCTACATATCCTGATCATCAGTATAAAAGACACCTGTCCACAGAATCTCATAGTTGTCCTTTAAGGACTTCATGTATAAACCTTACTGGCGGATAGCTAGGCAGAAGCCGATCACACGGCATTAGGCCCCTTAGGTAGCGCTGAAGATTGTAGGAAGTTCCTTTTACTCGTCAGCACCATTCGGGGTCCCTAGTGCAATGTGAACGGCCTCCGCCCGACGTCTAGTCTTATACTTAGTGTTTTGCCATGAGGAGCCCACAGAAGGGCCAATTCACATGTAAAAGATGAATACCAAGTCAGCCGGACCCGTAATACAAATTCCCATCACACCCGAGGAGAGATCAAACAATCATCAACGAATCCTAAAATCAGAATCTGATATTGTTTCAAATGTGAAATGAGAAAATGGCTGCAGTTTTTAAACTCGCCACAAGGGGGTGATATTACTTGTACAGACAGGAAGTGATGTCAGTTACAGACAGGAAGTGATGTCAGGAAATAGACAGGACGCGGTGTCAGGTACAGATAGGAAGTGATATCATTCCCAGACCGGATGTTGAAGTGAAAGAAAGAAGAGAGGAGACGTTGCTGGAGCTGAAAGCATGGAAGTAATAAGATATTATTTTCTACTTATATATATTTTTATACATCTATTAACTTCCCTTTATCTTCATCCAATTCCTTCATAGTCCCTGTGCTATCTGTTATCATTTATAGACCCATATATATATAGAGCCATTTATCCAACTGTCCATCCAGAGCCGCCATTTATAGACCGGATACATCCTAAATATAGAGCCATTTATCCAACTGCCCATCCAGAGCCGCCATTTATAGACCGGATACATCCTAAATATAGAGCCATTTATCCAACTGCCCATCCAGAGCCGCCATTTATAGACCGGATACATCCTAAATATAGAGCCATTTATCCAACTGCCCATCCAGAGCCGCCATTTATAGACCGGATACATCCTAAATATAGAGCCATTTATCCAACTGCCCATCCAGAGCCGCCATTTATAGACCGGATACATCCTAAATATAGAGCCATTTATCCAACTGCCCATCCAGAGCCGCCATTTATAGACCGGATACATCCTAAATATAGAGCCATTTATCCAACTGCCCATCCAGAGCCGCCATTTATAGACCGGATACATCCTAAATATAGAGCCATTTATCCAACTGCCCATCCAGAGCCGCCATTTATAGACCGGATACATCCTAAATATAGAGCCATTTATCCAACTGCCCATCCAGAGCCGCCATTTATAGACCGGATACATCCTAAATATAGAGCCATTTATCCAACTGCCCATCCAGAGCCGCCATTTATAGACCGGATACATCCTAAATATAGAGCCATTTATCCAACTGCCCATCCAGAGCCGCCATTTATAGACCGGATACATCCTAAATATAGAGCCATTTATCCAACTGCCCATCCAGAGCCGCCATTTATAGACCGGATACATCCTAAATATAGAGCCATTTATCCAACTGCCCATCCAGAGCCGCCATTTATAGACCGGATACATCCTAAATATAGAGCCATTTATCCAACTGCCCATCCAGAGCCGCCATTTATAGACCGGATACATCCTAAATATAGAGCCATTTATCCAACTGCCCATCCAGAGCCGCCATTTATAGACCGGATACATCCTAAATATAGAGCCATTTATCCAACTGCCCATCCAGAGCCGCCATTTATAGACCGGATACATCCTAAATATAGAGCCATTTATCCAACTGCCCATCCAGAGCCGCCATTTATAGACCGGATACATCCTAAATATAGAGCCATTTATCCAACTGCCCATCCAGAGCCGCCATTTATAGACCGGATACATCCTAAATATAGAGCCATTTATCCAACTGTCCATCCAGAGCCGCCCGAATGTAGCAAAAAACTACCCACCCGGCACCTGGAACTACATGTCCCGGGCGTCAGGCGATAGGAACTCCACACACCTGCTGAAATAATATCTTCTGGCTGGGGTTGGCCTTAAAATTGAATCTCTGGTTTCCCTTCAGAAAGACCTCTAAGTAGTATGAACTCTGGAGGAACTCTGTGTAGACATTATTCATCCCGGGACAGTCCAGATCATTCTCATGTTATTATCCATCTACAGAGAGGAGAGTCCTGCATGGATCACATGACCACATCAATGATGACCATAGACAAAGACCTAAGTCACATGACTGAGAAGATATTACAGCTCACCCTCGAGATGATCTACCTGCTGACCGGAGAGGTGAGGAGGATGCTGGGAGGTTGTATCAGGTGAAGATGATGATATGGGGGAGATTCTGGGAATGTCGCAGCTTGAATTTTAGTAAGCATTCACATTTCTCATGACGTCTCTCCGTAGGGTTACACAGTGGTGAAGAAGACATCCGGTGAGAGTGTGACCTCCAGCAGACATCACCGTGTGTCAGAAGGACGGAGAGGAACACAGAACCATATCCTTGTCCCTTCAACCATGTCCCTGTCTCCTCTATGTGACAACAAGAAGAAGAAGTTTCTAGAATTCACCAAGAAGATGATTGAGCTGCTGACGGGAGAGGTGAGCGGTGCCGGGAATTCTGGGACATGATCCAGGAGCAGACAAGGGATGTGTATGGATGGTGACTGTATCATTGTGTGTGTCAGGTTCCTATAAGGTGTCAGGCCGTTACTGTCTCTGTGGAGGAGGATTTAGAAGGACATCGGGATCTCTACAAGGAGGTCGTGATGGAGAATGAGCCGCCCCTCACATCACCGGGTAAGAGGAGAGAGCAGTACGGAGGCTCCGCCTACATCCCCCATCATCTGATACACACATAGAAACAATGTATTCAGTCAGTGTGTGTGTTTC